GGTGTTCACAGTGGGCTGTGTTTACATTAATCTCGCGTCATAAAAGCATTCTGAGCCGAGGTGAAATTTACATGACTCAGCCGAACGCACAAGCGCTCTTCAGCACTCTTCTTCATGAGCATTTTTATGCATTTTTGTAAAATATTACAAAAAAATTTAACATTTTAACATTTTTTTGTGACAAAGAATTTAGTATCAGCATCCTTTGATATATTCAGTATGCTGATTAGCATCAATGTATTATTTACTTTAGTATTATTTATATTAGGGCTGGGCGATATGGCAAAACAATAAAATCTCAATTTCTTTCAGAATGTTTGACCGATTCCCGATTTTTACGATTTTTTAACAAGTCAACTTGAAAATATAACTACAACATGATTCAAGTAGCTTTTTCTTTATTAACCTTCTAATTAAAAAAAAAATTCTATTCCATGTGCACCACATATGAAGTTGTCAGCATGATGTAAATGTTCAACAAATCACTTGTTAAATATCTTTGCAAAAAAGATGCATGATCTACAATTACATCTTGTACAAACTTGTCTTATACATATTATATGTTCAGAAATAATACAAGGAAAATGCATAAAAAAAAAATCTCAAAAGTCAAGGTAATTCAAATTCAAAATGACTGAAGGTATAACACCAGTACACTATTATTAACTATAGATGTTCTGTATAAACAATGAACAGCAGCTTTCAGCCTGATGTCAACATGATGCAAACATGAAATTTCAGACATACTGTAGTAGTTCTTTACAGGTTTTTATTGGATTGCGTCTCTTGCAGCGTCTCATGCATGAAACGGCATTCTAAAAACGCGGTGCTCAAGTTAAAAAAAGTTCAACTCCCATCTTCCTGCATTTTTTTCCTATTCCACTGCCCGTGTCGCATCTTTATCAACACAAAAGCGCATTCTGTGTGAATGGCATCTTAAGATCCTTCACAGAGCACGTCACACATATTAGCTAAACAAACGCAAATCTTCCACCAAGAAAAAACTGTTTCTGGCGAGAGTATAGTGCCGACTTCAGTTACTCAGATGAGCCTGTGTTGTTAGTTTATACCAGTTGTTATCGAGGGATAACATTACATACCTTGGAATGTCGCGACTGATCAATCAGAATAAAGTATTCCACAGAGCCGTGTAATAAATTTTATTTAAATTCAGTTCTAAATTCCGTTTAAATTGTTTTTTTTTATATATATTTTTTTGTTGCCAACAGCAACATTTCTAATTTAAAGTCCCCCTGTAGCCAAATATTTTATCCCTTAAAACTTATCTTTGATCATCAAAATGACATATTTAAATGTTTTTTTTTTTGTGAAAAGAATTTTCTCATGCCTTAAAATAGCTTGAATGTAACTCTACACCCTTGCCTCATTTACAATACGCTGATCTATGAATATGCAAAATAGTCCCGCCTCCACTCAGTCACACCAGCCAACACCTCCTGATCCACTGAACTGTAGTAAACGCAAAACAATGGCATACACGGATAATGACTGATAAAACTATGTTTTTACTAGCGGACAACTACAGTGGATACTGTAACATTCGTTAAAGTTACTTACTTTACTCTCGTAAGTATCGCGATGTCGATGTCAACAGTCAGGTAACAGACGATTATCGACATTATCGGGAAAAAATGACAAATGATAAACCTAGAAAGTTGTAAAAAATATTTTACATAGCCCCATAGTCACCATACAGGTCTTTTTGCATGCAAGAATTAAATAATTTAATAGGAGGGTTGGGCATCGAAAAGCTATTCCAATTTCGGAAATCAGATCAGATGCATAAGGTCAGGAATCAAATTACTTGTTATAAAATTATACATTTCGATTCTGCTTCTCGATTTCTGTATGCGCTTTTATTGTGATTTCAAAAGATTCAGCTGCAAGAAGACAAAATAGAACTCACTTCTGCACTCGCTCGCTGTTTTCTGTGCTGCACACACACACAAAACGCACGCACAAAATGAAATCGGTCATTTGTCCACAGAATTAGTATTTTCTGTACAGGCTGCTTGATATGTCCCACCCTGTCTTCCTTTTTCAGTTAAAATGACGTCAACACATAGAGTAACGCTGCGTGTTTCTAAGCATTTCAGGGGACCTTTAACGTTTTTGCTCAGAATTCGTTTTTAATCCCTGCATGATTTTAGTCATACATGGTAAATATCAAATACGTTATAGCTTGGCGTGGTGGAGGTGGGGCTTACGTAGACGATATCGGATCGCAGTATTTTTAAAGGCGATTATCGATAAGATATTTTTGACATATCGCCCAGCCCTAGTGCAGACGTCGATGCGGGAGAGGTGGGTCTGAGTCCGGGCTACTTTTACACTGTTGCCACGGGTTATAATGCAAGTTAGCGGTTCTAAATTCACATTAAACCACAGCTTCATGGGTTTTTTGCTCTAATTTATTTTTGGTTTTGTGTTGGTTAGGGATGTTCATTTCGGTTATTTTTCCTAACTGACAACCGACGCTCGTTAACCGATTATTAACCGTTAACCGACAAGATTATTTTAAATTAGAATTGAATTAAATTAGAAAGGATAAGTGTCTGTGACCCGGTAAAAATACCAACATTTGTTTCCCGGGGATTAATTTTACAAGCAGCAAACAACAGAACATGAGGATTCACTGGTCATCATATTACATCACGCTCCTGCAGCGCTTTTGCGAGCGGAGAAAAACATAAAAAAGCTAGGCTAAATATATACATTTAATAATAATATAATAACATAGTTATATAATAATAAAATAATTATAATAAATAGGCCTATACGAGAAATATATTTTTACTTAAATAATATCTTTATGACTAAAAGGAGTAGTTACTTCCACTGTTAGAAGGAAAAAATTCAAGTGATTGCGCCGGTGCCGCAAGTGCGCGCACAGTTAAGCTTTGCGACCTTGACAATGCAGCCTGTTCATTATCATAATAAAATACAGTCAGCGAGTTTCGGTTAATTTTTGTGCTGCGTGAAAGGAAACAGACGGCAAAAAGCGGGATCCTATTTTTCGTTAGGCTTATTTTACAAAAGCACAAAGATTTGTTTTTATTGTGAATGTACACAAATAAAAGCAAACCTTTTACAATTTATCTTTATGACTAAAAGGAGTAGTTACTTCCACTGTTAGAAGGAAAAAATTCAAGTGATTGCGCCGGTGCCGCAAGTGCGCGCACAGTTAAGCTTTGCGACCTTGACAATGCAGCCTGTTCATTATCATAATAAAATACAGTCAGTCAAACATATGGAAAAAACGCACTGCTCAGTTTAAATATGTAGTCAAATCTGTGCCGTTAAGCGTTATCACCGTACAAACATTTCGTGTCGGCATTAGGCCTATTTCTAAAGGAAATAATAAAATGCGACTTATACGTGACTTGCGTTTTTTTTTGTAAAAATGCAATTTTTTATATACGCATAGCGTATTTTAACCATGCAGCAAACCTTTTTAAATATTTTGATAAATTACTGAAAAAAAAAAAAAAAACTTTTTAAACCGTATAACTGATTGTATTAACTGGTCAAAAATTCTTACGGTCGGTTAATGGTTAACCAGTTAAAATGAACATCCCTAGTTGCTGGTATTGGTATATTTTGCATGCTAGTGATCGGAATCGATCCCTTGACGTGATTGGTTATTGGATTGTGACGTAGCAAACCGCATTTCTGGGACTGCCATTGGGAAACTACAGTTTTAAGGAGAAAATACTCAGCAATGGTGTTGATTAATAGATTGGCACATGGTTTGTCTAAAAGCATATTAAAACCACCACATAGACATAAACTTTATTATCACTACAGGGGGACTTTAAGATTTTTTTTCTTTTTACGATTGAGTTTAGATTTTCATTTAATATTTATATGTTAACGAATAAAATTAACAATAATAACATTGATTGATATACACATTTGATTATTACATGGCTCTTGAACACTTTACTCTGATTGGTCCATCACTGTATTATTTTGGGTTTATTTTCATTATGTCGACTGTACATTATATCTCACTTATGTATTAGGGAGTTTATCTTTGATGTTAGAAATTTAGTTTGATCTGGACACAGTCCTAAAATACATTGTTGACCAAGAGCAAATTGCATTCTCCATCTCTTTTCATTTCTCACAAGTGCTTGACTGTTGAAGAAGTATAGTGTCTTAAAGATTTTATGTGGTCTTTGCATTGTCATTGTCATTACGTTAGTGCATGATTGAGCAATGGATTACTGCTGTATAATCCTTAATATTCAGTGCTGACTTTGTTTACCAATAGAATGATTTTGGTCAGATTTTGTGAATGACATATGTTTTGCACACAGAACAAATAAGCAGCAATGATGCATTTCATGACTTGCTTCTTTTTACGGCTGTTTCATGAGGTTAAATGAAACGCGTCAAAGCTACATTGTGTAGTTGCCATTGCTGTGTGCTGACGCTGGGTAAAAAGGTGAAGTAATTAAAAAATGCTTTACTTCAGCATGCCCTTTGGACCTTATAAAATTTGTGTAATTTTCTTATGCTGTATGTCCGTGTTTATAGTCTCGTAAGTTCCCTGTATGAAAATTGCTCTATTCTCTTCCTTCTCAGAGGAAATAGAGCAGTCTTCCTGTTTGGGCATGATTATTTGTCTTACACAGTTGGAGTTGAGCTATTCAGCAGCTCTGTTTATTGACTCTAAATGTAGTGATTCTACTTTCATAAAAGGCCTCATTTGCTTTTATCCTACTAAGGTACAGTATGTGTAATTCTAAGATGTGCTGTCCAGCTATTATAATGAGGGTATACTACTGAATCCCCATTGTGAAAAGTCATACCACACTAGTGACTATACTAGTCGTCACACACTAGTCACTAGTCAAAATATAATCTCTTGTATTGAATTTGTGTTAGTGCTTACATCATACTCTGCTGACATAATGCTGTTGTAAATACTTTTGCAATACCACTAATTTGCTTGTCCTGCTGTCCATCTTCAGCGCCGTGGCTCAGCTGAACGATGGTGAAGCCAGACATTCACACTCTGGCCCACCACCTGAAGCAGGAACGGCTGTACGTGACGTCAGAGAAGCAGCTCATCCAGCGGCTCAACAACGAGGTGCTTAAAACAGCAGAGAGGCTCTACCGCGCAGCCTGGATCGCCAAACAGCAAAGGATCAACCTCGACCGCCTCATCCTCACCAGGTGACTGCACTCCAGACCAGTAAAACCAGCAGGCTCTCCTCGTGATTTTCTTTCATGACTCATTACCTGATCAACTGAACCGGAAGAATCACTAAGATCACATTGCGGATTATCACAGTGGTAGAGACTAGGGAAAGAGCCAAATGAGTATTCTGGCTTGCCAAATGAGTGTTCTGGCTTGACTTCTGGTTAAACTATTGCTGAATATGGCAGTGGTTTTCAACCTTTAACCTCCTTTTGATGCTAGGAACTTCTTGAAACAACATTCAAGTTCATTCAGGACAGCCACTTTGATATTCAGTTGGGATTTTATAAACTTGTATTGAATATTTGGAGTATCCAGCCAGCAGATAGTGTCGAGTTATTTCTTTATCTGAATTGCATTTGCACATTCATTCCAGTGCATCTCCAGCGTGATCAGAATTAATCACATGATTCTCTGCAGTCCAGTTCTCTAAATGCATCTCTTTCCTTTCCAGTGCGGAGGCCTCTCCTGCAGAATGCTGTCAGCATGCCAAGTTTCTGGAGGACACACAGTTTGTGGATGGTTATAAGACACTGGGCTTTCAGGAGAGCATCTATGGGGAGTTCTTGGGCCGCTTGAGGGAGAACCCGCGATTAGTGGCATCCTGTTTGGTGGCAGGAGAGAGACTCAATCATGAGCACACGCAGGGGGTCATACACACAGTCTTCACCTCGCTCTATGGCAACTGCATCATGCAAGAGGATGAATGCTACCTGCTGCAGGTACATAGGATATACATGTGTGTCGTGGTACAAATAATTTTTTTTATATGATTTTATTTATTATACTATATTATTTTTGACATGTATTATTAGGGATGTAACGATTCACTCAACTCACGATTCGATTCACGATTTTGATTTCTCGATTCGATTCACGTTTTTTTTTTTTTTT